CAATACAGGTATTGTAATTTTGAAAAAAAAAATACTAAATATGTTAATTTTAAAATGGTGTATTGTAACTATTAGGGTGTGCCAAAAAAACTCGATATTTTTTTTTGCTTGCTCTCCACCCAAAATATCGCAGAATATGTCCGAACAAATATTCTGTTAGAAGCGGAGCTCATAATTTCAATTTTAAGAGGTCCTCCATCGAATCTGAAGTTTTTCCGCTTAAATAACACAGAAAACTGACTTTTTTACTTTATTTATTCTTGCAACCTAGGAAGAATTTTTTTTCATAAAATCCATGACAATTCTTACAAAGCATTAAATTTGGACAAAAAAATCTTACCAAGCCGAATTTATATTTTCATTATTTGATTTTTTACAGAGTTTTAAATTTAAAGTTAATAATACAAAAATGATGACTTTATACGTCTGTAACTTTTAGAATATTGACGATACAAAAAATTCGCCTTAAACTTTTTTGTGGTCCATCAGACAAGCTAAAAAATTGCCATTTGACTTTTTCGTCTAACTTCAATAGTTTAGCTGAAAAAGGCAAAAAACGTAAAATTTTAAATTTAAAGCTCTGTAAAAAATCATTTAATGAAAATAAAAATTCGGCTTAATAAGATTTTTTCGTCCAAATTTAATGCTTTGTAAGATTTGGTCATGGATTTTATGAACAAAAAATTTCTTCCTAGGTTGCAAAAATAAATAAGGTAAAAAAGTCAGTTTTCTGTGTTATTTAAGCGGCAAAACTTCAGATTCCATGGAGGACCTCTTAAAATTGAAATTATGAGCTCCGCTTTTAACAGGATATTTGTTCGGACATATTCTACGATATTTTGGGTGGAGAGCAAGAAAAAAAAATATCGACTTTTTTGGCACACTAGTAATTATACTATACATTGTATAGTATACAATTCATTTCAACTCAGTTTAAGAAAATTACAAAATATATTTTACAATTTTACTGAATTGAAGAAAATTCGTTCGCAATATTACAATACAAATATTGTTATTTTGTACAACAAATTACACTAAAATATTTAGTAATTTATGAATGATGGTATTGAAATTATACTACGAACAAAAAAACCAATTTTCTTAGTTTCTTCAAGAAACTTTCTTGGCCTTACAGTAAAGATTAAAAAAACTGAACTTAGAAAGAGATGTGTTTGGGCTTAAAGTTGATACACTTTGGCATTGACTTTTGTGGCAATTAGGAAAGTAAACGTAGATAAATAATTCTGTTTTTTGTAATTCATCACTAAATGTATAATTCGTAGCACCCCATGATTTTGTTGTTTTAATTTAATATCATGTATCAATGTACATATGTATATTGCATCTCCATTTAAATAATTTGACTGTTTCTTGGTAACATATTTCAAAATTTCTCTTTGTTTTTGGAGATAATATTTTCCTATGGGAACCTTTTAAAATAAATACAGGGTAGTAATACAGATATTTAAATATCGACTTCCACGTAATTAGCTTGAAACCTATCATTACAGATAAAATACCTATTTAAGATAATTTACTTTTTAAACATAAATTTTCAAAAAAATTTTAATCTATTCAAATAATATTTCATTTCTCAAGGATTTTTGTAAAACTTTTCGCATACAGTCCTGGAATAAATTAGTTGTCTCTCATATAATCAGTGACCACGCCCACGTTATAAAGATTCAGTCAAATGCAGATAAAAAAATTCCCACGATTTGTTTTTTTTTAATCAAATATTTTTAACTTATTATTTTACCTCTCTTCGAAAAAATTAAAAACTTTATAGTTGGCATTCAAAAACTGGGTACACGAACTCTCCAAAACCACATGTCGCCTGCTTCAATTAAATATAATAATAACACATGTTTTGTATTTCACGAAAAATACAACAATTGTGCGCCGAACAATGGAATTATTTTCTTTAAACGCTTTCGTGTCAGAATGGTAATAATATCATTTTTTGTGGGCCTTATGTTGATTTTTATATGCGGTTTTACACCCTACGGGAAAATGGGAACTTTTTTAAATTTTTACCTACTGGGTACAATTTTCAGCACGCGATTATTTGGTCACGAGTTAACAAATATAGGTAGCACATAACTAGGGATGGGATATTTAGGTACTAAAAACTGAAAAATAGGTAACTAAAAAGGTACTAAAAAAAGCATTTTAGGTTAAAAAAAACAGCATTTTAGGTAAAAAAAACATTAAAAGTTTAAGTTTCGTTTATAATTTTGTTTAGCCGCATACCCAAACACAGAACATATCCACAATAAACTATTTCTATGCAATAAACTGTTTTACTGAGTGACACTCACTACACAGAAGTTCTATGACAGAACTCACTAGTAGTGAGTCACTACAAAGAAGGTAACTGTAAAGAAAGTTACTGTTACAGTCTGTAACCATAAGAAAAAATTCTATACCGTTGAGTTGCACGCCCTGGATAAAATATTGGCGCAAATTTTAAAAAGAACAAAAAAAATAAAATAAGTAAAAATACGTAAAAATAGGTAACAAATATATGAAAATAAACTGACAAATTAAAAAATATGTAACAAAAGTATAAAAAGGTAGTTTAAAGCAAAAACCTCCAAAAAAGGTAAAAAAGGTGAAAAAAAGTTTAAAAAATAGGTAACAAAAGTATAAAAAAGGTACTTAAAAGCAAAAACCTCCAAAAAAGGTAAAAAAGGTGAAAACAAGTTAGGTTCATATAAAAGAAAATCTTTTAAAACACATTTTGGCATTATTGGTTTTCAAATAATTACATCGGGTTAAAAAAAGGTAAAATAACTAAAATCCCATCCCTACACATAACAGTTAAAGTGGTATGCCAAAAACAGGATTATTTATTTATTACTAGAGAAAAATTTTAAAAAGGCAACTAAAAAAACAAAATAGGCAGGTAAAAAGGCAAATCAAGCACAAAAATAGCGAAAAAAAGCAAAAAAGGCTATATTAAAAAATAGACGCGTTTTTCATAAAAAATATATAAAAAACTGACTTTATGGTTTTTGTTGGTTTATTCGGTAAAGTCGGTAAAGTATTCTCTAAAAATGAATAGTTTTCAAACCACTAATAGCTGTACACTGTTCAAAATTTCATGATTGTATCGATACAAACCAAAATGGTGTTAAATTGAACTCCTTTTCAGTGTTAAATATTATGTGTTTTTGGTCAAATATACAAGTATACAAAGAAAAAAAGAAAAAAATGAAAAAAAAGGAAACAGGACGTTTCTTGACGCATTACTAGTATATTACCAGTGGTATTATTCCAGAAAATTAAACCTTTAACTCGCTAGAGATAATGTTTTTAGTGCGTTCCACCAACTTCAAATACTTCAAGTATTGACAGCTGTTTCCACCTATTTAAAGTCTCTTTAGTATTCAACAACTTGTACTGTCACACCAAAGCAAAGGACTACCTGAGCTTATATACTCTTCATGTAAGTTAACAGAGGCGAGATTTAAGAACATCACGTGATCCACGCCGCCTTTGCCGCGATCGGTACACACTATGCAACCAGGAATGCACGGCAAATTGTTTTAATCCTTTTAACAGAGTTCTTTAGGTTGAAATAACTCTTATTTTACAAACAACATATTTAGTAAACTTAACCTGAACTAATTAATTAATCCAATAAGCCTTTGTGTTTTGTATTTTAGCCTTTAGTTGATGAATAAAGATTATTATTATTATTATTATTATTAATTGGTATCCCGGACATTTAACAGCCAATTTTTATGTAAAATTGCCCCCTGAATCCGAAAATTATGAAAGTATACTTTACTACTATACTACTATAGGTACACAGTAAAAAATATTTGGGAACGTAAACCAAATATTAACCAGATTTTATGGCAATCAAGGTCCACATAACTTTATGTTAAGTTTACAACCAACTGTAATCTGTTAACTAATTGAATAAGTAGTTTGTAATAATTTTATATAATATATAATAATTATAACAAACATTTTGTAGATTTAACAAAATCTAATATGTCAATAATTCAACCATAATTCTTGTAATTTTCAAAAAAGACCTTATTTTTACAATAAGTAACAAAAGTATTTGTTGGAAATTGGGAAAAGAATTTTGATCAGAAATGTTTATTAATCAATTTGCTAACCTTTACAAAACTTTCGGTGAAATATTTTTCTATATTAAAATAAATACAAACCCTGAAGTTTTTGAGATATAGTCAATTCCATATTATAAGGAAAATTTTTAGAAAATAGCAAACGATCATAGGTTTGACATTTTCATATGTCGTTTACAAAATTTGTTTCTAAGAGGAAAAAGAACATATTATATGCGACCTTTAGGTCTGAGCAAAGCTTTGCAAAGGTATGCGCAAATAGCGTGTATTTAGCATACCGAAATTTTATATTACACAATATTATAAAAAAGTTATGCAACGAGAAATAATTTTTTTTGTAAATTTAATTTAAAAAGCGAGAAACATAAACCCTGCGCGCAGGCTCATTTGGCCAATAAACGCGCTTACAGTCAATCTCGTCATTTCTAAAAAGTTTCGATAAACGATATAAAAATGCAAAAATACATGCAGAAGCGGATGTAAAGAGTTTCCAGAACTTCCGCAGTTGCGGTCTGTTGCAAAACTAATAAAAAATGTTTTCTAGAAAATTTTAAAATTTTTGCGATTTGACGCGACCGGCAACATTGCCACGCCTACTCTTGATAATTCCAACTTTTCCGAAAATCCGAAATGTTAAGCTTTAAATTTTGTTCATTTTTGTAGAAAATTAATGGAATCACTCAGGTTAAAAAAGTTTTGTTTTATTTTTTGTTTAACATTTAAAGTGTTGGATTCTGCAAATAGCAGATACAATAATGACCATTTTTGCTTTCGCTGTCAAAATAACAAGAATAGTGATAAACAAAAGGACTGTTATGTCAACTGAATGATAAGCAGTCCGAAATTCCGTCTCCCTTATTGTACCTATAGGTAAATAATAAAGTTTCAACTTACTTTGTTTTGATCGTGGTTCCCTAGGTCCATCAACTGTCACTTTGATAGCTTTGTTATACGTTGCCACTTGAACAGGATCCGTTTTTATAATGATCGTCAGAGAAAATGATTTTCCTGAAAAAAATATTTTGTTATTTTTTGTATTTTCTATTTGTTATCACAAAAATAAACAAGAAAAAAACAAAAGTCTTACTCGACAAATTTTGTTCGAAAAGTTTCAATTGCAATAATATTATTTAACTTACATTTAAAATTGTATTGGCTATAAAAAAATGTACCACCTAAGGTACCTTTTTTTATTAAATTTTCAGTGTCTTAATGGGGCAAAAACCTACGATTTGTCAAAGTAATGAGATTATTTTTATTTACAGAATAAACTTTTTTTACTGTTAATAAAATTCTTCTTTACTATAATGAAGCAGCAATGTTGAGATTTTATAAAAAAATGTCCATCCAACATCATCATATTGTCATGGCAATAAGAAATACTTTATGTTTAAATTAAATCTTTGACGAACTTAAAATGTTTTTGTTAAATCTATAGTTGTGTGTGAATTGCGCTTACATAAAGTAATGCGCAGTTGTTATAGTAAAATTTGTTCATTTTACTATGGCATATTTGTCTTTTTTAAATTATTATCGTTGTAATTAAAATTAATTTTATTTCAGTTAGAAAATCTTTGTTAATAGCTTACGTTAAGAACTATAACTTAAATATTTTATTGCTATAAAAAGACTTTTTTAATATTTACTATTGTTTTGCAATGGTAACAAATTTTTTGTTATTTCCCTTAAAAAGAGGGGGAAAGGGCCAGCGCTCTCCTTGGAGAACATAACTTTATAATCCACAGTCTGTGTTTTAATCTTATTGATTTCACTTGTGCGAGTGAAGTGTGGTAAAATTTAGCATGATAAAAATATCAAAAAAAAAACTAAGAAAAATAAAATTTTGACGTTTTCTAAAAGAAAATTTTAAAGTCTATTCTATAAACGAAGCAGACTTATTGTTTAAAAAGTAAGTTCATATTATTTTATTTTTTACATCATATAATATGAGTTTATTTTTTTATTATAATATAATTTGTTTTGATGCCTTGCAATTATTTAAACAAAACTAACCAATACTTAACATTAGGTTGAAAATGTGACCATTGTTACAATGAAAATTGTTTAATTTGTTGTTAAATTTACATACATTTTATTAATATTATAGTTTTATTTTAAACAAAAAATTTCTATGAATAATGCCATTAAGTTTTTATTAATACTACAAAACATTTTTGTAAATAATAACTATATTTATCAATGCCTTTCTGCATCTGGAAGAGTGTTATTTTTATAAACATAACATATAATTAATGCAAATGCTTTTACTGAAAGCAGCGTTTGTAGATAAATAATTTTTATAAAAATGTTTTTTTTTGCCGTAACAAACTAAAAATTCTGAGTATGGTTTTATGATTTTTACTGAATTAAAATGTTTAAATTTATCACGTAAATCATCTCTAAAATGTGTACAGGGACTGAATGCAACTTATTTCTTCATTTGGATTTCGACTGTTTATTGGAAACACAGCAAATTGTTCTACGTTTTTTCTTGTTTCTAGTTTTTTCACTTTAAACCATAGACAAAGCTGCTCTAAACTGCAACAATCTTTGATACTTTTTCAGTACTTTTAATATTTCTATAAAACACACATTAAACATCAGTTTGACAAAAAATCCTGAAACTCTCTTAAAAATTTTATGAAAAACTGTAATGCAACAAAATGAGAGCTTTAACGCACGTGTGCTTTTAACTTAAAAAAGTTTTAAGTCATTGATGACAGTGACCGCTAATCTGCAATAGAACGTTCTAAAATTGTCCATACATCATTCAAAGTGTCTTCGAAAAGTGAAATGCGGTCGAGAAATTAAATTTGCGACGACAGGTCGTTAAAAACTTGACGTTATTGCGAACTTTTTACGATTTAAAAATCGCACCTATTAGTCGTCACGATTTTATTGCTCAGTTTTAGTGTTTAGTTTTTAATGAGAAATGTATATGTGCGATTTTATGAGTTTAACAATGAAATTGAAAAAATTGTGCGTATTTTTCTCTACATTTTGGAATGTATTTATAATGTATAAGTATAAAATACTATATTATGTATCAAACGAAAGTTTATAAACGAGTTGAATACTATACTTTTTCTACGACAAATACTTAATACCCATTACACTAGTTTACAAGAATTTTCTCATTGAACCAAAACTACTTTTTTTAAGGTAAAATTTTGTGCTGATTCAGAAAATCTGGTTTAGCTCTAGATTTCGAGATTCGCATGAAATCCCAAAAAAATGCAATGTTACAGAACATTAAATCACAAATTTTCAGCTAAAGTTGTTATTTAATATTAACATAATAGCTATAAAAAGGAAAGTGTAATATACATTTTAAGGTGTAAAACTTATTAATTACATTAGTGGTTTTGTCGTTATGATCAAAAACAGGTAAAAAAAATCGTTTTATTTTCTGAATTTAAAAAAGATCAGCTTTAAAATATAAAAAGTTGCCCCTCCTATATTCTAGAGAATTTTAATAAATAAATAACAAAAAACTAAAAAAAATCGGTTTTGATAATTTTTTTCCCTTATTAAATCTAAAAAAATTGTAATATTATAAATGATAACATTTTTCATTGCTTCAAAAAATGTACCGTATATAATCCATCTCATCAAATATTGACGTACGTTTGCTTAAAATTTTCATAATTAAATTCTCTAGAATATAGGGGGACTAACTTTTTATATTTCAAAATATTTTTTGATATACAGTGGACCAAAGTTGAAAAAATTGAAAAAAAATCGGAAAATAATGATTTTTTCTGACCTATTTTTCGTCATAGTGACAAAACCACTAATGCGATTAAGGAGCTTTACATCTTAAAATTTGTATTTAACTGCAGTCCTTACAGCTATAAAGATTTGGGATTGATTTGATATCAAATAAAATCTGTGGGTAAAAGGCATAAGGGGATAAGTCAAAAAAAGGAATTTTTCAATAGAGCCTTTAACGTGGAAATATATTTACGTTTAGCGGGTATACGCTTTTGTTAGCATATAACATGTGGTAACAAAAGGGTGTACCCGCTAACCATAAATATGTTTCCTGAATTAATGCGAATACGTTTAAGGCTCTACTGAAAAATTGCTTTTTTTGACTTATCCCCTTATGCCTTTTACCCACAGAAAATTTAGCTGCATATTTGTGATTGAATATTCTGTAACAGTGCATTTTTGCGAGATTTCATGCATAACCCGAAATTTAGAGCTAAACCAGAAAAACTACTATTGTTTTTGGAATCAGTACAAAATTTTTGTAACAACTTTATCAAATTTTGTAAATTAGTGTTATTTATCCCGATCAAATAAAAACTTTTTAGTAGACATTGCTTTTTACGGTACTTACAAAGAATTTTGTTACAATAAAATAACATCAAAAGAAGAAACATATGATAGAGCTTGTGTATTGTTAAAAGTAATTAAATTTTATACACTGAATTGTATATTTCCAATTCAATGTTTATTGTGTTACTATTATGTTATTTTTTTATAGTGAGTTTCTAACGGCGCACTAAATAAAATAGACAGATATACCTACCAATGAACAAAACAACAATATTTTTGTTAAAAACGGACTTTATTATCATTAATTTATCTGTAATTTGTCGGTTTACAAGGAAACTAAGGAAAAGCAAAACCTGGATGTGGTTTTTAATAAAAAAAAAATTCTTAAAAGAGTACGTTAATAATAATGATAAGATAGTCAATTCTGACCATCAGTATATATGTATATACAAAAAAAAAATATTTCAAGAAATCATATTTTACATACATAAAAAGTTTATGCAATAATTCCGCTTTGACGTATGTCAAGAAATAAAACAAGGAAAAGAAAACCTACGATTAGGAAATGTTTATTAAATAATGATTTTTTACCACATGGCGCGCGCCGGTTACCCACGGAATTACCGCAATTTTTTGTTATTTTTTTTTAGCCGCAAATGGACCAATTAAAACCATATGTTTGCCATATTTAACTTCAGTGCACAATTTATACAATAATTCAGTTTAGTCCCTACACGAAGAAAAGTGAGTTTTTATATTTAGTATACTAAATACTAAAACTTTTGTTCGGTTAGCCATGAAAAAATAACCTCATTGAAGTTAACCGAACAAAAGTTTCGTTATAATACTTTTACCATTTTGTTTTGTGGAAACCGTGATCGAGCTTTAAGCAGGACAAAATAATAATGAACAATAAAAGGGCGGAATCATAATTGCAATTGAAAAAAAACTTATATCACAATTTGTTGTAGCGTGCTTATATTGTTTTTTACTCGCAAATCCAAATTTTTTGTACTAAAATAATTTTGTCCACTCCCACCTTTAAAACGCCCATTATCGTACATGTTTCCATGACACTAAATTACCTTACGGGCTTAAGTTAGTTTTAAGTTAGTCAAATGTCATACAATCGTTAAAATAAATTGCCTTTCTTGTAAAATAGTCCTAAATGTGAAAATTATTTTATTTTCCCAATACAAAAATACAAAAGTATTAAATACTTTCTTGACTCCAATATTTGAAAAGGTTATATGTTTGTACTGACCTTTTGATTATGCCGTAGTAATGGAGTTAACTAGATTTAACTGATAAAGCGTTAAAAATTTTGCGTACAGTGCCCATGAAACATTCTCTTCTCTTTTACTGTGAAAAACTGCTTCTATATCGATTTTTAGTCTATTTTCAAGGGATAAATTTTGATTTACACTGAAAAATTTGAGATTTTAACGCCGGTAGACTTTCAAGTTAGAAATTCTACTAAAAACAATATTTACGAATTTGAATGTTTGCATATCGAAACAGACGGTATATAATGATAAACATTATAAATTCCCTGCATAACAACGGGAATAATGAACTTACCTACTGTGATTTGAACCAATCGGGCGACTATAATAATATTATAATATTTAAAATTGCTAAAAAGTGCGGTTATAACCATTTGACAGATGTCAGATTTTATTTACTTATTTTTGAAAATCCTTTAAATATCTACTTATTGGAGT